GCCCCCCCCCCCCCCTCTTCTTAAAACCTCGTAGTGCTCTTTCTCTATCAATTCGATTAAATGCCCCTTTGTAAGTTATAATTTCTTAATATTCCTTTTGATGATGTAGTAAATATTTTATAATTTTCTTCTTTTTGATGCAGGTTTAGGGATTTTGAGATTGGTGAGGAGAACCCATCTATCAAGGTAAATTACTTCATAATTTCGCTTAGTGAGGAGAGCATATATATGAAGGAGATATTTGTTTTTGTGTTTATTTTGATAATTGTTGTGTTTGAGTTATGTTGTGATTTCCTTCGCATCTGCATAATTAAGTTGCGATTCTTTATCTTAACCTAATGTGATAATAGGATAATAAGAAGCCAAATTCTGTTGCTCCATGCATTGCAATTTTTACCATTGCGATCTTTGCTTTATGCATTGGAGAAGGCGATTTGTAGAAAAGTCTTAAACCTTTAGTTTCATTTGGATAGAACACCACTTTTTAGTTTCAATTTCTTCTGTGGATAGAATATGGTCTTTTAGTTTCAATTTCTCCTTTAGTTTCAAGTATCCAAGTGCATTAAACTTGGTCCCCCGAAGGAATTTTTTAAATGAAGACCATAAACCATTCTGCTTTGCACATCAAGTTTGCATGTTATAAACAAATGATAATGAAATTCTAGGCCATATAGAAAGAACATTGGAAAACAAAATTTCTAGCAGAAGTCCTACAAGAAACCTACTGGTTAAACATCAACTTTGCTTTGAAAAGTAACTTTTAACAATTTAATAAAAAATTTGGAGTGGCCTGGTGTTTTCCAAATGAAACTCAAATTTCACTATGAAACAAAATTTATAATGAAATCATTCAACTGTAAAAATCCACTCATAGATCAAAGACTCAAAGGAAACGTAGGTTAACTTTAGAAATACACTTTGCGTAAGCTACAATACTGCTAACTTCCTCAGTTTTTATATAACAAGCATTATTTGTTCTTTAACTGCTATTTCTCCGGTATTATTTGTCTAGATAGATTGAAGCTATTAAATACATAGTAGATTAATGATGTAAGGGGAAAAGACGTATATGCATCTGGGATTCGTTAAATTTGTAATTTACAAAACACAAATTCTATACTAAGAAAGGACCTAACTAATAGTACGAGGTTATCTATACTTAAAACATCTTATAAACAATAAATGATGTTTAAGAAATGAGTGTTTCAACCAAACACTAATAAGAAAGTTGCATCCATATTGGAGGAAGTATTTCTTACCCATATATGTGGGTTTCTACAGGATTGTTTTGGGTACCTCCATATAAATTAAGCAACATCCAGTTTTTTAACAATGTTTATGTACATCTTGGATTCATCTTGGTGTATTTTAGCCATTAATTTGCTATAATATTTGTATGAGTAGGTGTTGTAGAGAGAGAAGGGACAGAGCAAGAGAGTTAATTTTAATGAATAGTTAACCCTATTTGAGTTAGTTGAACAGAAAACACTAATATGGATAATAAAATATGTCTGCATGTTTTTGCTAAGATGGATCTGGTAACATTTAACTTGTGATCCTACCTTACAATAAGAAAGGACAACATGTCGCCTTTCTCTTTTTTCGTGTCTATCCTAAATTTGCTAGCATGATGCTAATTTTGGATGCATACTGAGCAAAATTTTCATGCTGAATAGTAGCCAGTTTATTGTATTGATCGATTTTTTTTGAAATATAGAGATTTGTAGATATCTGATACGAGTGTATCTTCTCTTCGGAACTTAGCGATCCTCATGGAAGCTTAAGGATAGATGATTCTCATGATAGCATGAGAATTGAGGTGTAAAACAACACATTGGAACGCAGGTTGAAGCGTGGAACGAGACGGTGAATCGAAATCGAATCTTCCAGTTTTCAGCCCGTGAGTCGACTCATACATGTATATGAGTCGACTCATCAAGTTGAGTCGACTCATGCCTATCATGAGTCGACTCACGAAACCCAGCCGTTTTGTCAAAGTTTCTGACTAGTCGACTCATGCCTGTCATGAGTCGACTCATATATGCTCATGAGTCGACTCATCGATGGTTTCCTGATTCGTTTGGATTTCTGTTTGCATGAATTCCTGTGGGGTTTAGGCTTGATTATTTACCACTTTGTCATCCACGTTGTTACTCTTATATAAGGGATTGTTTTAGGGTTTTAAAACAATCGAGAGAGATTAGATTGTATTTGAGAATTGAGAGAGATTGTTCTTCAATTCTAGTGAGATTGTGAGAGATTGTAAGCTATTTAATTCTCATAATCTAGAGAAGATATTTTCCTTCGCCACCACTGAATTGTTTTTGCGTTCTTGTTATTTTCTTCTCAACCACCTTTGATAATTTCGCGATCAAAGATGCTCGTATGACGACTCGTATTAAGTTGGTATCAGAGCAATCAGATCCTGTGAAAGAAGCATCCTGTGTATAGTCCTAACTCGATCGCAATACAAGAAGTTAGACAATATTATTATTTCATTGGAAGGGGTACAGAAATTAAGAAAGAAGAAGATGACTGAAGGAGATAGTTCAGCGAGACTAAATGCATTGGAAAAACAGATGGAGACAATGAGTTCGACTCTCACACAGCTCGTCAATATCTTCCAAGAAAAGGACAAAAAAAGGAATCTTTTTCGAAAGACAAGAAGAAACTTATGGAGTCCGATGGAGAAGACGATGAATCTGATTCTGATAGGGAGGCCGAGATTGTCAAAACTGTTTCACATCAAGAGGGTAAGAATTATTACCAGAATTTAAAAATTAATTTCAAGGTGAAGATTCCTGTTTATGATGGGAGTGTCAATGTGGAGAAACTCGATGATTGGATCGAACGTATGGTGATGTATTTCACTTTCTATGGATATTCATCCAAGGAGAAGATTGTGTTCGTGACTTTGAAGCTTTCAGGGCATGCGTTGACGTGGTGGAAATTCTACTGCAAGCAGGAGAAGAAGACGATATCGTAGAACAAGTTTAAGGAGCTACTGAGAAAACAGTTCTATCCTGTGGGGTTCCTTGAGGAGCGTTGGTACAAGTGGTACGGCTTGCGCCAAAGATTCAATCAGACCGTTCAAAAGTACACGACGGAGTTCCAGCAACAGGCGATGGTTCTAAACATCGCGACGGACGAATACTCCATCTTCATGAAGTACATGACGGGTCTGAACGAATACATCCGGAAGGAGATGAGGCTATTCACGGTCGAGTCTATTGCAGAGACAAGCGTGAAAGCTATTGTCATCGAGGGCAAGCAAAAGAAGAGCAGCGAGGCAAAAGGAGAGCAGCGAGGCAAAAGGAGAAGCAAAACAGACGGGAGGTGAGTCTAGTGGTTCCAAACATAAGGAGGAGAAGAAGGATGATTCAGGGAGAGCAGAACTGATTTGTGGTCATTGCGAGAAGACATGACATATCGCTGATCGATGCTGGGAGAAGTATCATCATCTGAAACCAAAGGGGTTGAAGAAGAAAAATGAGAAAAAAGAATACGTGATAGCACAGGATCCGAAAAAAATTCCTGGGATGACAGAACCCAACAGTAATCTTAATCTTATGGCAGGAAAACAGGTCACGAAAGAGGACGAAGACCCCTGAGAGCAGCTCTTTGTGCTGAAGTTGCAAGTGAAGACCAGTTTGGTTGATACCATTATTGATCCAGGTAACGAAAAGAATTTGATATCCGAGGTCTTGGTTCAGAAGTTGGGTCTGAAGACAGTCAAGCATCCGAAACCCTATCCATTGGGTGGATTCAGAAGGAGACGAGACTAAGTGTAATTGATCAATGCACTTTCAGATTTGTGCTCCACGAGTCGTATATTGACGAGGTCACGTGCGACGTCGTTCCATTGGATGTTTGTCAGGTTATACTGGACAATCCGTACTTGTGGGATAGATACGCGATCTACGAAAGACGGGCTCAGAAGTACATATTCACCAAGGATGGTGAAAAGTTCATATTTCATTCGGCGTCTCTTCCGAGGGAGGCAAACTTAGCGACGGTGACGTGAGCGAAGAGGCTAGTGAATGCAAACAAGAAGTTTGTCTCGCTGTGTATTAGATTTCATGACGAGCCATCGAATATGAGTTGCATGTTGGAGCGGAAGACGACTACGATGAGGCGAGGAACGAATGAGTCGTTTCCAGTTGTACGTCGATATCAGGTTTCTAGTAAGGCCAGGTGGTACAGAAAGGATGGAGGAGCTCGCGAGTTTTCTTAGCTGAAGTTCTAACTTGAATGAGACTTCAAGTTCCTAAAGGGGAACTCATGATACGGGTATATCTTCTCTTTGGAACTTAGCGATCCTCATGGGAACTTGAGGATAGATGATTCTCATGATAGCATGAGAATAGAGGTGTAAAATAACACAGTGGAATGCAGGTTAAAGCGTGGAACAAGACGGCGAATCGAAGAATCGAATTCCAGTTTTCAGCCCGTGAGTCGACTCGTACACGTACATGAGTCGACTCATCAGGTTGAGTCAACCCATGCCTGTCATGAGTCGACTCACGAAACCCAACCGTTTTGTTAAAGTTTCTGACCAGTCGACTCATGCTTGTCATGAGTCGACTCATGCTTGTCATGAGTCGACTCATGCGTCATGAGTCGACTCATGCGTCATGAGTCGATTCATGCGTCATGAGTCGACTCATATATGCACATGAGTCGACTCATCGATGGTTTTCTAGTTCGTTTGGGTTTTTATTTGCACGAATTTCTGTGGGGTTTGGGCTTGGTTATTTACCACTTTGCCATCCACGTTGTTACACCTATATGAGGGATTGTTTTAGGGTTTTAAAACAATCAAGAGAGATTAGATTGTATTTGAGAATTGAGAGAGATTGTTCTTCAATTCTAGTGAGATTGTAAGAGATTGTAAACTATTTAATTCTCATAATCTAGAGAATGTATTTTTCTTTGCCACCACTGAATTGTCCTTGTGTTCTTATTATTTTCTTCTTAACCATATTTGATAATTCTACGATCAAAGGTGCTCGCACGACGACTCATATCAATATCCCATGAGATACTTCGGCTTGTGCTAATCTAGCTGAAGAAGTAGGAAAACACTTTATGCATAATGTTGAGCGGTAGTCTACTTTGGGGAAGCAATGAGCGAAGCTGGGTTTGTTCTTGAAGAAGGATAATATAGCTGAAGAGATTGTCGTTGGGTTTGTTCTCGAAGAAGGATAATATGGATTAAGAGGTTGATGCTAGCTCTCTTCAGCTTAAGCCAATTATTAATTTGGAAGAGGGATAAATTTGTACCTCGTAGTCGCAGATCCTTTTTTTTCTTAGTTTGATCTGTTAAAAATTGCTTGAAGTGTCCATAAATTGTGAGTGTTGGTGTTTATTTTGTTGTTTATAAAAGTTATATTAGTCTTTATATATCTCCCAAAATTTTGTGAAAGGTATGCTTTTAAGCAACTGTGTACAAAGTTTTGGAAAAATATATGCAATAAAAGGTGTTCTTTGATCAAATGATATTTATTGTTGTTGAAATGCTAAGGTATCACACAACTTCTAGCTTCTACCCTCTAGCTCCTTAATGGGGAAGGTGCCAATGCAGATACGAAACAAAACAGGTTCTTGACTTGTGAACTACAACTATTGTAAATATAAATATAATCCTTCAAGGCTTTGTAGTCTTAAGCTTCCATGTAATGTCAAATATACTATACAAGCAATTCATTACAAGAGGTTCTTAACAGGACTATATGTTTAATATAGTATCCGCTATTTCTCTCTTACATGATCCATTTTGATATTGTATATGCATCGGAGCACTAGCACCAGCACTAATTCATTAGACCTGAGAACTATTTACAAAGATATCATAAAGTAATGAGAACATGGTAACCAACATTGTATAGTAATTATTATTACATAGTGCTCTCTTAATTTCTTATGCTTGGAAAAAAGTATGTGAAAGAGAACCCTAAAGGGATCACTGATCATACAAAAGAGTACGAATAGAAGTTGAGTGATAGCATGATATCACTGTTTCATAAATAGTGATAAGATGGATGTGCTCAATATTAAAAATTCATTTTTAATAGCATATAAAAAAATTATGCATTTAAGAACTTATTTAGTGAATTTCTATTTTAAACTACCAGCAATGTGTAATTAGCATTTGTTCTACGTGAAGCATGTGTTTAATAAATATTGATAAGATTGGTGTGAAAAATAACATTTGGTCTTCAAATGCTTCATCTTTATAATTTCTTAACGTGCATCATGTGTAAAGCACGTATTACATACTAGTTCTTAACAATATGAAGAATGTTTAATCTATTTACAGCTTGAGCAGAAAGGTGATAATAAGGTATGACTGTAAATGTTATGTTATCAGTCTGGAATATGCACCAAGCCAGTAAAAGTTGATGGTGTATACTTGTCCATGAGGGCCCAACTCACTTGGAAAGTTTTCTTCTTAAATTTTCATCATATATCCTTTTATCTATTAGGATGGAAGCCAAATGATAATGAAATAAACTACCAAAAGAAGTACATGCTAGATGGTCAGGCTAAACTACACAAAGAATAAATGTGGATAAAACCAAGAGGAAGAATTAATATCAAAGTTTAGCATCAGTTACCTCAACATAGCAAATGCCTTGTGGTTCTGAAGTTCCAATCAGGACAAGATCACATGGAACTTCATCATTCTCTCGCAACCACACTATATTACCCACACGAATATCTTGTGCTTTAATCTTCAAAACATAATGAATATATTTAAAAATCAATTAGACCTCATGTGAACCATTTAGCAACAAAACCAGTATGTGATAGCTAGTCTAAAATAATAATAAAAATCAACTTGTCGGGAGAAAATACGTTCAAATTCTAAGTAAAACTGTAGTGACTAAAAGGAATTGAGGTTGCTGAAAATATAAATTGGACTCCGAAAAGAATAGCGGAAAATGTATACCTGTTTCCTAATGCCTGCCTTTACAACCCATACTTCTTTTTCATTTGCCTGCTTGTCAGAAAGATACCTATTGTAGTCATCCCATGCCTCTTTTGTTGCAGAGACTGCAAAGATGAAGATAAGTGGACCCCATGTACTTGCAGGATTTACAGGTGTTATTAGTGACCACAGTTGGAGGCAAGCTATTAGCAAAAAATATTGATTCATGAATCGCCTGCAGCAGTAATCAAAGTGTCAAAAATATATATAACTATAGTCACGCCAAATTTCCTGATGTAAGCTCAATTTTGGAAAACTATGTTCAAAATTCCTACTAAAACATATAAAGACATGAATTCTATTTGAAACATGCATAACCAATACAAAAAAAAGGATCAATACATGAACAAGAAGCTAGTGTTATCAATACACTAGGCGCAATGCGGGGTGCAAAATCCCTTTATGCGCACATGCGCCTAGACTCCTAGGCTTATGCCTAGACGGCGCCTAGGCGTTTGGTTATTTTTTAAATTATTAAATATAATAGTTGATAAAAATATGTATTAAATTCATATAAATTTGCCAAAAAAATAGATAGCAATCTTAGATTCACAACAAATCATGTATACTTAAATACTAAATAGCCGCCAAAATAATAACTTATAGGAAGTGCTAAGATGTCTAGGCATTGGACCCAACACTTAGAGCCTAGGAGGTTTTCTTTTTTTATTTTTTAATTACAATAATTGATAGTAAATGTTAATGTTATAGAAAGCTTAGGTGTCGGACTAGTGTCTAGATGAATTTCTTTCTTTATTTGAGTGGTAGTCGAGAAGATTTTGCTGAAGGTTGGAGGAGATAGTAGAGGTGTTTATGTTTGGAGGTCAAAGGAGTTTGAAGGATTTGGAGGACGTGAAAACTGCAACATAGAAAATCACGATCAAGAGCTAAATGGTGTAGTCCATGTAAATAGACAATTCTTCCTTAAATACTTCTAAAATCTAGATGGACAGCCTAGGTACTGCCTAGACGTTAAGCGTTAGTTAGGCGACCTAGGTACCGCTTAGGCCTAGGCGTACGTCTAGACGGACTAGGCGGATGCTTTTTAAAACAGTGATCATGATTAACAATTATTCTCAGTATAAAGTTTTAATTTAAAATTAATTCAAAATATATGAGAAATGAATCGTATTAAGTTGCTTAAGGTTCCATTAGATAATTGAATTGATATGAAGAGTGCCTAAAATCAAGCCCGCAATCCCATTGGCAGGACACAAGACCTGGGACCCTTAGGGCATATTTGGTAAATGGAAAGTAAATAGAAAGTGAAACACGGTGAAGGTACTTTCTCAAGACGGTACCTTCTTGTTACTTGTAAAATCTTGTTTGTATATAAAGTTAAAAAGAGAGAAAGCAGAGGTGGAAATTGATGCGTCACTTACTTTATTCTTATTCTGTTTGGTTATCAAGGAAAGTGATTACAAAAAGTGGGCAACTGAAATTGGTATTTGAAAACCTGAAAAATCTATTCTTTCTCCCCTCTCTCTCTTCACTTTCCGTCCACTTTCTTCAAATTATTGAGAAAGGAAGAAGGGCTAAAATGGTGATGTGGCACATTTTTCTTTCCAATCACTTTTCATCCACTTTCCAAGTCCCGAAAGCAAAAAAGTGGAAAGTGGAGACACTTTTAAAATTTTGTTCCACTTTCCATTTAATTTCTAGTTGCCAAACATGCCATCAGCACAAAATGCATCTTGGAATGACTAGCCGATGGGGACGAATAAGTGGGGTATCATGCACAGAATCCCTATTACATAGAAGCAATAGGATATCTCCTTAAAAACGTTCAAGTAACGAAATTCAGGCTGTTTCTGCTCCCTCCATCATGATCCGGAATGAGAAGAATGCTCACAATATCTTGTAAATTAGAAAAATGGGGTATCCTCGCTGATGTGTTATCCGTGAGCCAATAGGTACATTAAACAATATGAATGAATAAAAATAAAAATTGGCAATCAAGCCTAAGAAAACAAACATAAAAGGCAGCTATATAGCCTTGGCCGGGAAATCCTTCTCCCGTAGGGTCTGGATCTGCTAGTCCTCCACTCCTCATAAAGACAAAAGTATCAAAACTGCTTTACTGACTTAAGGTCCTAGTCAGGGATCCACCAAAAGTGCAAAGTGCCAAAACTACTTGTAACCACTGTTATAAATAGCGGTAAATAGCTCCGTAATAGCGACACTAATAGTGTTAGCGGTCCCTTCCCGCTACACTATCACCCAATAGCTGTGACATATTGCAGAATATGCACTTTTCGTTCGTAAAAGCGGCCAATAGTGTATCATAACGATAAATAGTGGACGATTGCATGCGAAATTCGCTTTTTGACTACTATTTAAAAGCGGTTTGAGGTTTATTTTTTTAAAATTAAACTCAGCCAGTGACCATTGCATTTCACCGTCTCCTGTGATTTTCGACATACTCCCGCCACCTCTCATAGCCTCTGACACCTACCTTAATACTTTCTCTCACCTCCTTCACCGTGAGCTCCTCTTAGGGCAGTCCTCTCACCATTCAGCTCTTCTTCTCAATGACGATGGCTCTTTGACTCCTTCAGTTGCCTTCGGTATTACGTGATGGTTACATGTCTATTTCATGTTTAGGATCTTTTTAAATCATCAAATATGTACTTTTAAATTTTTTAGATTTTTTTAAAATTTTTTTAGTATTTATACATATCTAAATTAGACCGCTATTTGACTTTGTGCTTTTTACCACTATTTTACCGTAATAGCCCCAAATAGCCTTAGTGATGCCTCACCGCTACGCGATGCTATCCACTATCGATAAACTTGCTTGTAACTAATTTAAGTGCCCACGTACAGATATGGACTGATACAGCTTGGAGGCACATTTTTAACAACATCCAACTAGCCAAGGCCGGAAATAACAGAACTTGCCTCACATAAGGGTGGCAATGAGATAAGATGAGCATGTATCCTTAACTTCACCTATTTTCAGTTTTAGACATAAGATCTCCCGGTTCGTTTAACCAAACAGCTTGCGAGATATAAAGTTTGGACATGCTTGCTTCAGAACCCAACTGCTGAATAGGCCAATACCCAGTGCATGGGGAAGCCTTCGCATCTAACTACTTAACCTCACTGCCTACTTGGGAAGATATGCTGATAAATAAGGAGAAAACAGTTTTAAATCAACTGGAGCTTCTATTGATTATTTTACATCTATTTCGTTTAGAATTTGGCTGCTAGGGTATTCTGCGAAGTTCAGCTTACCCCATAGTTTCTTCTATGCCTTGATTGTATATATAATTTATAAATTATCTACCCTTGTAAGTCATTTTTAAGATCAAAGGTAAGGCTATTTAAGCTTACGAAACTTAAGGCTCACTATATAAAAAACTAACTAGAGCATAGAAAATCAACTAAAATCAAAAAAGGGAGAAAATAAACAATTTAAGACAAATATTTTTCAGGCATTCAGCCTTAGTATCAAAGATCTTCTCCTGTTGTTGTAGCTTTGTGACCAACCAATTAATATTTTCTAAATTGATCTGCTTCTGAACCATCATTTTCTGAACCTTTTAGGTTCTCGCCATATATGCATGTATGAAAGAAATCAGTAAACTCATTCAATATTGTTCAGTAATTTTCTCAAACTGACTTTTTTGCTTAAACAGCTAATGGAGCCTGGTATTAACCAATTGCAGCCAGACTAAGCTATCTAATACTTCACGAGCCCAAAACGAGCCAAACTTTGAAGTCGTTTAGATCAGGTCTAGCTCAAATTTGAGCAAAACAAATCAAACTGATGCAAAAAAGGCCAAGCTCAGTTCTTTTAACAGCCATATGCAAGAGAGAGTGGTATCAATTGTCTACAGTACAAATCGCTGCTTTTTTTAACATTAATGGACATGATAAAGTTCTCCTCAATTCTTCAACAAACAATATCAAATTCATCACGAACTGGCCAAATATAGCCAGCATTAACGATCGAAGCCCTACGGATTACTAAACTAACCCAAACAAATAAGAATCAACTCCATGGTAACAAAACTTAGAAATCCCAATAATTTAAACAAGCAACCAAATCAAATTCGGCCAAAAACCAAAGCGAAAGGGTACCTGAACTGCTCCCATAGATTCTTTGGGATGAAATTGAGGATGGTATACTTTCGATTAGAGATTCGATTGTCGCAGTAAGAATCCTGGGACAGTTCGTCGTTGATGTACACAAACCGCTTCATTTCTGATCACGGGACCAACAGAACCCCTCTCCTCTCCCAAGAATCGATCATATAGTAAGAAGCGATTGGATCGACGAAGAATTGATCGAGGGAGATTTTACTTATTTGATGCGGGATTTTTTCGTTGACGCGGTGATCACTGATCAGGCGGCGGATCTCGCTTCTCAGCGATCAGCGATGTGGGAGTTTCTCGGTTCTTTTTGCGTCGTTGGAGATGGGTCCGCGGACAAATTTTCGTTTTAGACCTCTTTAGAAAAATATTTGCAAAAATCGACCTATTTCAAAAATATTCGCTAATTTCGACCAAGTTTCAACCAACAAACAGTGTCGAAATTGGCGAAAAATATTCAAAATTTCCATGGAATTTAAAATAGCATGAATTTTAAACCATTTATTAACAATGTTGTTAAGATGGCGAAATCTTAACATGATTTGAAATCCCGTGAAGCTCAAACTTCACGAGAGCGTTGCTCTCTGGCGAGCAAACCTACAACTCCACGAGCATAGTCCAGCGAACGTTGCTCTCTGTGTGTGTCCATCATATATCTTGTTGCAGCTTGCTCGCCAGAGAGCAACGCTCTCTGGACTATGCCCTGCAAACTTCACGGGATTTAAAATCCCATGAAGTTTGAGCTTCACGGGATTTCAAATCCCGTGAAGATTTCGTCCTCTTAACAACATTGTTAATAAATGGCTTAAACTTCACAGGATTTCAAATCATGTGAAGTTTTTAAATATTTTTCGCCAATTTTAACCCAGTTTCAGCCAACTAGTTGAAACTGGGTCGAAATTGGCGAATACGTTTTAAATAGGTCGATTTTTGCAAATATTTTTCTAAAGATGTCTAAAACGAAAATTTGTCCTTTGGTCCGCACGCAAGGAAGACGCTGGGGCTGTTGATGGGTCATGTCGGTAGGTAGGGACCGAATCAGCCTGGTTATATTTGGTCCACATCAGGCTCAAGCTAGCACATCAGACTCGTTAGCTGACGAAGGGGAAACTTATAAAATAGCCTCTTTCACAAAAAAAATATTTATCAATTTCAACATGATCCTGAACTTTTCATTAAAATGTACCTAGTTTCAGCCACGTCAACATTGTGCACTGAAACTAGATCGATTTTAAAAAATAAATTTTACATAGTATACAAGATTGAGAATCTCGTATAGTTTAGCTGTAAATTAATCTATATGGGGTTCCCAATCCGTTATAGTTAACTAGATGATTAAAGTACACGAGAATGTCATTCCCGTGCACTTTTATATTTTCATATGTAAACAAAGTTCACATGATCTCAATCTCATGAAGTTTGTTTACATATAAAACTCTACGGGATTCTAAATTGCGTAGATTTCTATTATTAGGCAATAACTCTCTAGAAAAAACATGAAACTCGTGTTTTCTACAAATAGCTTGCGGGTATTTTCAAAATCCATGGTATTCCGTGGACATTTTGTTATATAAAAATATTGACTCCCCCCCCCCCCCCTTTCTTTACCCATCCAACTACTTCGACCATCCAACCATCTCTAACCACTTCTGCCAACTGTCATCGACTTCCCTTTCACCATGATCTCACTAGAGTTCATTGGATTTTGACCTACTTTTTGGTAATTTCTTCAAACATTTTACATAAAAATATAGTCAGATTATATTAATGCAAAATTGTGTCAATGCCCTAAAAATCAAAACTTGATGTATCCTAACCCGATATTAATTCTATTGTGTATTGGACCGAAAATATTTTACCCAGGTTTACCCCTCTCCACTTACTAAATGAGCCTCGTCTGTTTACGTCGGGAATAAGTTTCATTGCAGCTTCCATTACAATCGTTTTGATGGAAACAAAAGAGTGAGTCTTACACTTGCAAAACTTCTCTTTACAACGCAAACAACAAGAGGTGGTCCCTAAAAACACACACAGAAGCTATTTATTAGCCTCTGCTTGTGTGGGATTTTTGCATGAGTCAGGGATGCGTTAATCCGTGGACCACTGATTCATGATCCAAGTTGGATCTGAAGAAGGGTTGATGTTGATGTTTCGACTTGGAAACAAGAACAAAAGTAGATATCTTAGCAAAGTAAGATAAATATTCTTCTCAATATCAAATCAAGGTTTGATATTGAGGAAACACCGAAGGATCTTGCAGTTACTCATAAACGGTGAAAAACTCTCTCTCTCTCTCTCTCTCTCTCTCTCTCTCTCTCTCTCTCTCTCTCTCTCTCTCTCTCTCTTGCTCGAAGTTTGCCAAAATATCAAGTCTCCACTCTCAGATCTGTTTGGTCTCGTGCATAAGGGTGCCAAAGGGGTATTTATAGCCTTTGGAAGCCGTTACTGAAGATAAGAAGTTGAAACAAACCGCGATCATCAACCCCTTTAGGCGAGACAATGTTTACTATCTCGGCCAAAGGAGGCGACTCCATGCAGTTTGTAACTGACCCTCATTCTGTTAAATGCTGTGATTTTTGGGGATTATGGGTGGATTTTTAGTTTGTAATGGCCTCTCCACGTTTATAGATGTTCCAGATCAGTTATGGAGCCACGTGGATCGTACGAGACCCGAGAAAACCTGTTAGAATCACGTCATGCCATCTTGCAATTTCCGAGACAGCTCTTACTATCTCGGTTTCCGAGACAATATACACTATCTTAAAAATGCGAGATAGTGTATGCTGTCTCACAAGTTGTGAGACAGCTTCGAGTCCCGTCATTTTGTCGTTTTATGCGTTCCTTTGCACCACACAATATCAGTTTCCGAATAACATTTACACCACACAATATCGGTTTTCAACGCTCACCGATCAACGATCACAATTTCACAATATAACTACACTCCACACCCTCTAAGTGTTGGTCTCTAGGTCGTGTCCTTCCTCAAGTATTCGGATACAACCTCTCCCTAGGTTCGTCAACCGATGCAACTCCTCTTAGAAGCGACCCCGTCTCTCACCACACACTCCTCTCGGTGTACTAGTGTAATACAAAGTGAATCCTTTCAATTTAAGTTTACAACAAATTTATTCTCTACAATAGATGAGAACTCAATGAAAGCTCACACTCAATGATACAATCTCACAACTCAAATTATACTATGAATGTAAATACAATAAGCTCAAGTGGGTGTGTGTAAACAATGAGTGAAATCAAATCAACTAAACTCAAATATAAATACTAGCTTAATAGAATGATAATCAAACAATATAAATTCAAAGCTAGAAATTGAGTTTAGAAAACTTCTCTATAGATAACAAGATATAGATGGAGAATAGTTGGATGCTTAAACACCAATAGATGATCTCCTCAAGCTCTTGTGAAATTGATTTCACAAAATCAAACTCTCAAATGCTTAAAAGCTTCTTAAACAAACTAAAACAAAACTTAAACCCTTATTAAAACTTGATTAAAACATTTCTTGGATTGTCCATAAGAGTTGAAAGCAATGGGGTATTTATAACCTCTCAAAACATCAACCAAAACCCCAAAGAAATGACCAAAAACCCACAGAAAAACTCAGCTAGAAATAGCCGTTGGAAGCCAACAGCCAGATTGGTGGTCGACTGCGGAATTCGCACGGTCGACCGCGAGCAGCAGAAAAATAGAGGAACGACATTGGATGTAGGCATCTAAAAATGCCTACAAGTGTCCGTACGCAACTATGAACGTCGTTATCCGAGTCTAAGAGGATTATCTGACACTGACAAGTGCATGAACCGGAATGGCGAACCAACTATGTCTCGTGCGCTCACCGGCCACCTCCAATTGGTTGTCACACTCGTCAGTTAGCTCGCGCATATCGGTCAGCTGCGCACGTTCGTTAGCTTGTGCGTGTCGGTCAACACGTGCACGTCAATCAGCTCGCGCGCGTTGGTCAACACGCGCACGTCAATCAGCTCGCGTGCGTCGGTCAACACGCGTGCGTCGATCATCTCGCGTGTGTTGGTCAACACGCGCACGTTAGTCAGGTTGTGCGTGTCAATCAGATCCAAAGTGCCCGTCGCGCTTGTCGGTCAGATCCAAAGTGTTCGACGCGCTTGTCGGTCAGCTCCAGGTGCCCGCCACGCTTGTCGGTCAGATCCAAAGTACCTGTCGTGCTTGTCAGTCAGATCCAAATTGCCCGGTGCGCTTGTTAGTCAGTTCCAAATGCCGTAAAGAAGCTAACGAACACATGAAGTGAGTTAACGATGCATGCAAGTCAACAAGACAATCAAATACGCAAAACGATGGAGAATGCAAGTCCCGGAAAGTAAAATGCCAAAAAAGGAGTTCAGCTGAAGCGGCGAACCCGCGTCGATGCGAGACGGCGCTGGCCGACCCGTGCCAGCGCGGGTGATTCGGCTGACCCGCACCCCTGCGGGTCAGCACGACCTGTCTCGTGCAGGTTTGACCCGAAAACGCGTTTTGATGGTTTTTAAGCGGTTTTCGTAGGATTTATCTGTTCCAAGGGTTCCCAACTGACTTAATATTATCCACAAACATGGTTAGGCTATTATTAACTGAAGATAAGGTTAAATCACTCATTCTTATCTAAATACCTCCTAAACGAAGCCTACAAATACAGGCCTAGGGGCTCATTTCACAGGGGCAGAGATCAAGAGGGCGAAACGCTGCCGAATTGGAGAGTGAAGCCACAAATTTACAACGAGGGTTAGCAAATCTTAGCGAATTCCTATGCATAAAGAGTGGAGTTCAAGAGATCTGAGACATGTTCCCTATTCCTCCAGATTTAAGCTTAGTCTTAATATCGAGAAGAGCCGTAATCTCGCTTGGTCGGGATTACCGCTGTAGTGATTACTTCCTTCGTGAAGTAAGAGCTTTGATTAACTTAATCTGTCAACCGGATCTGATCCGTAGTGGACCACGGATATTAACATACCCGACACAGGCGAAGTTCCCACGCAAGCAGTGGGTGATAAAAGTTCGTTGCGCTGTTTGACAAGAGTTGTACTATTTTACATTTTTATTGTATAAGTCGATCTTATAAAAAGATCTACTTTTCTCGTTTATTTGAGTTTTATGTAACGACCAAAGTTGTAATAAATTCAAGGCAATGAAAACATCAACTTTTGACCCAAACACGCTGGCGACCATAGTGAGAGCCAACAGCCTTTCTGCGAAGGCTGATGTGTCACAACCTCGGATCCGGATCCCGGTTGAAGAAGAGGTCGAGTACGAGTTCGAC